TGAATCAACTACTTACCGAACCTGGACTATTTATTCTAAAACAAGTTTCAAACAGCCACCAATATTTTATGATTTAGACATTGACCAATTATGGCCTCAAATTAATATTTTTGGATAACCTTTTCAAATGATTTAATATATTTGGATAATAATTTAAAATGATTTAAAGGACCCCTATAGTGCCAGAAAAACAAACTCGTTTTCCTGGCTCTATAGGGTCTTTGGGTCCCCCCCCACCCTCTGGGTCCCACTCCGCCGGGCTGAAGGGGGAGGAAGGGGTTAAATTCTTACCTTTCTCCAGCACCGGGCGCCCTCGGCGCTGGGGACTCTCCTCCCTCTTCCGACGTCATCCGCTGAATGCGCATCTCAATGCTTTCCTATGGACGCTGGAGTCTTCTCACTGTGGAAATCACAGTGAGAAGCGCGGAAGCGCCTCTAGCGGTTGTCAGTGAGACAGCCACTAGAGGCTGGATTAACCCTAATGTAAACATAGCAGTTTCTCTGAAACTGCTATGTTTACAGCTGCAGGGTTAACCCTAGATGGACCTAGCACCCAGACCACTTCATTGAGCTGAAGTGGTCTGGGTGCCTATAGTGGTCATTTAATATTTAGAAATACATGTGATTTTTTAAATATATATATATACATTGCTATATTTTTTTATATGACATTTTAAAATATTTTACTATATATTTTTTTTTAAATCATTTTATGTTTTTAAAAAAATTTTACATAATTTGTAAAGTGTATCCAAAAATATTAAATTGAGGCCTATATTATCAGCAAAATGGTGGTGATTTGAGTACAGGGTTCTGATGAAACTAAAGATACAGATTCTTCCCTGAATTTTCAATCGTTAGCATTTGCCCAAACAAATATCACTTATTTATTTGGAACACACTAATATCCACTCACAGAAATCCATTTTTCTGTTAAAAGGGTAATTCTTCAATGTGTGGGAAGCGATAGGTCACTGGGATTGGCAGGTTCACAGCTAACAGCCTTGGATCAGCATGTCTTGGTAAAGTGCGGAATGTTATGTTACATGACACAGAAGGGGCAGCGCAGTAATATCTCACAGCTGTGTACTGTTTATGTAGTTGAGAAACCGAATGTTTCCCCCCAGCTCCGCCTCGATCATCCCAGCTCACTCTGTTTTTCCATTAGAATTCCAATCTCGCTAACTCATCCAAATATCTTTTTTATATCACTTTACCCAGCACCAGTTTCATATCACTTTCATATTAGTAATAAATAAATGTATGTCCATTAACATATAGCTCTACATTTCCCCCCTGGTATTACATATTGCTTTCATTCAGCAGAGCCCCAGGCCTGAACATGTGCAACAAGTCTTTGTCCAAATACTGAATCTTTTATGAGGGATTCCACAAAACATTTGGGACTTATTCACTAAACTGCAAATTGCAAAGAATTGGCAAGGGAATTGAAAATGCAAGCCAAATTTGGTGAGCTAGGGGTATAGCCGATATGGAGAATTTTCCAAATTGGGTATTTTTGGCTAAAATTTGCAATTCCCTCGTCATTCAATCATATTTCTCACTCTGTCATGGTTTTAAAAAGCTCCCAATTATGCATATAGCCTGTGATAGCCTAATGGATAGCAAACAGATATAAAGTTATCTACTGATACCCTTAAAGAGACACGTATAGTCAATACAACTTTGGTGTATAGATCATGTCCCTGTAGCCTCATTGCTCACTTCTCTGCCATTTAGGAATAAAATAACTTTGTTTATACAGCCTTAGTCCCACCTCTATCATCACGTTTTATTGATAAACCCTTTAAATAATTCTGAAGGTTTGATCTTGAGATAACGTTTTGATTTATTTCAACAACAAAATGTGAGTATGTTTTTTGGGGGGATTTTAACCCAGTGTATTTTCAAAATTACTTGTCCAGAAGAAGAATGATTAAGCATATCAAATCGACATTCTACAGGGCAGCACCATTCATGTACTGGCCATCATCTTGAAGATGTGATTAGTATCCATAAAGCATGTCGTCTTCCAGCCAGGAGTAACTGATTTCAAACCAGAAGCATATTGTTTTCGGATTCATACATATATCATCAATGGCCAGCACTAAAAGTGTTGCCTTGTGATTTTAAAATTAGAATTTTAAAATTTTAGAATTGAAATGCTGCAGGTCATAAAATATAGGGCAGCACTTTTCCTGCATTGATCTACAACATGAATAGTTGATGTGTCCTGTAAACCTGGTGGATCTGCAACCTGACGTCAGGTTCTGCTCTTCAGAATAAAGAATTTAAAAACACCTTGCCAAAAAATGGTGATTTTGTAACGCAAATATCACGACACTCCTGAAACTTCAACTGTTGAGACTATCATTTGTGAATTATTGAAATTATAGTTAAACATCTATATTTACTTTTTACGGTCCTAAAATAATGCACACAATTAACATAATTATACATATCTAAGAATATGAAAATATGGACATATTTCCTTATTTTTATGCTCGGCACACTCTTTCCCAAAAACGTACCCCTTCTCCAAACCATGCACCCCTCGCTGCCCCCTGTCTGTGCAGGAATGTAATTGTGTATTTGCGTGTAAGCAGCCGCCCCTCTGTTTTCTGTTAAATATCCGTGTTTTCCATCGATGCCTGATTCATAACATGGAAAAGCGAAACCTGTTCCAGAATTTTTTTTTCTTTTTTCTGGATAACATGTTTCTAATTTATTCAGCTTAGCAAAAAAAAAAAACCATCTATCTGGGATTCAGAGAAATGTTTAGTACTTTAGACACCACACTCCATGTTTAATTGACATAAATTAAAAACTACAAGCATACTCAGGCTCGTCCTGTCCTCGACCAACTGCAGTGATCTTAGGAGGTTACAAGACCCGGGAAAGATAATGTGTGGCTTGTGGTCACTTGGTTAGCTATTTACTGGATAGCAAAATTAAAGATTATTACTTGGGCCTTAAAGAATGAACTATTATGTAAAGATAAATTCTATTATCTCAGCAAAACAAAAACCTTTTAATGGGTAAAATATAACGTAATGCTGCAATAGTGGCTTAGCCGGAGACGTGTACCAAAGGGAATGAACACACAAAGAGGGTATCGCCTCCCTACATGGGTGTGCTGTACAGGAATCAGACAGGTATCGGTACCAGGTGGGTATGACAGGGGCACTCCAGCCATAATGCTAGCAAAGTATCATGGGAGATGTAGTCCTAATCATCTGGGCTTCCGAAGGTTGCCTACCTCTGCTCCGGGCTATTCTTCACAATTCCCACATTAGTGAATACATTCTATTAATTTGGTAATTTATATTCAAATCATTTCCAGAGGGCACTATTGTACCTGGTACACTTGCAACCTGAAAAGGGATTAGAGCGCTGAATGTGCCCTTCGGAGGAGCACTTTTTATACCTTTAATAGGATGTGATTACATACAGGCAATAAGTTCCCATTAGGAAAATTACAAGCCTGTAGACAGCATTGAGTTGGAAAAGACAGTTGTCACAGTAAAAAAAAATACAGAATCGCCCGTTCTTGTGCATTTATTATACACCAAACCCGGGATCTAGGGCTGCAATTGTGGGTTCATTGTGAAATTGCTAATGGACATCCTCTTTTTTTGTTTTTTTCTATGGGGAAGCGATGGGTAAGTTTGTGATTCCCCAATCCCTTTTTCTATTTTCTATGGTGGTCTAGTGACGGGAAGAGGTATACAGTTGTGCTCCAAAGTTTACATACCTTGGAGAGTTTGTAATATATGTACCATTTCTAAATAAAACATGAGCACGCAGGCAAAACACATTTATTTTATTTCGTATGGGATTTATGTTCAACTGTAGGTTATAACCAAATGGCACAATCAGAAAACAAAACATGGCAACAAAGAAAACAATTAAATGACCCCTGTTCAAAGTCTGCATGCCCTTAGTTCTTAATGCTGTATTTTGCCCCCTTAAGCATCAATGACAGCGTGCAGTCTTTTGTAATAGTTGTCTATTTAGCCCCTATTTCTTGCAGGTGGTATAGCTGCCCTTTCATCTTGGCAAAATGCAAAGTTTTTGGTTGTCTTGCATGAACTGCATATTTGAGATTTCCCCAGAGTGGCTCGGTGATATTAAGGTCAGGATGGCCACTCCAGAACCTTCACCTTTCTCTGCTGTAACGACTGGAGGGTCAACTTGACCTTGTGCTTAGGGTCATTGTCATGCTGGAAAGTCCAAGAGTGTCCCATGCACAGCCTTCGTGCAAAAGAATGCAAATTGTCTGCCAGTATTTTCTGATAACATGCTGCATTCATCTTGCCATCAATTCTCACAAGATATCTGTTTATATCCTTTTACATCTTTATAAAGTTCCATTACCTTGTTACGAAGGTCTTTTGACAGTTTTCTTTCTGCTCCCCATGGCTCAGTCAGGAAACCATAATACTGAATAGTGAAAACTAAACTGATGTGCGGGAACTATAATGGTGAATAGTGGAAACCATACTGGTGTCAGGAAAACCTAATGGTGAATAGTGAAAACAACAGTAAGTTATGAGCGGGCGTTAGTAGATACCATTGTCATTATTAACAGCATTAGCATAAATTCCAGTTTGTCCTTCACATAGTATTTCCGTGTTGTTCCTTTATGATAATTTCCTTATAAGCCGAGATCTGGTTCCCGCCCAACATAAAATAACAAGACCCACCAATAAAGCAGTACTTAGAAAGGATTAACCAATTACAGATTTATTTAACATCCAGAAATAGTAAGCAGATGATACATATCTCAGGCGGCGGGCCAGTTTTCTCGGTTACTTGGGGCACAAACTGGCGTCTTTATATATCTTCATTAAATGCTTCATCAAGTAGCTTGAAACAAAATATCCCATGTGCTCTGGGACACCCATCTTCACGCCCACCTCTCATTCCTGGCAATCAGCCGCTTGAATATCAAGAGTAATAAACGTTCCCTTCAACCTCCTACAAAGAAACCAAGGTTGGCCAGATCTCAAATGAGGTCCACGCCTTTTCACGGAGATACAACCAAGAAAGAGCGCATTGAATGACAATCAAAGTAAACAAGAACCTGACAATTAAATCACTGTTTATTCCCCACAAAAAAGAACCAAGTTTTACAGAGAAGGAGGGAGCAGACACACACCTAAAACCAATCATTGACATTTTACACTTAATTTGAACCTGTCGGTTGAAATTAATTTACTGATTATCATCATTCAATCAACCTTCCTCCCCTAGTGCTGCAACATTTTTCTCTGACGCGTATATTTTGCAAGCTGCTAAGACCACGTATAATACGGTGCCAGTCAGTAGTGTATACTATTTATGTGCTCATGAAATCCATCAAATAAACATGGTAGCAATTATTAATATTAGCATTTATGTAGAGCTAACATACTCCGCAACACTTCACAATTATATAAAGAGGTGAAAAAGGCCCTGCTCAAGCAAGCTTTAAATTAGACGTGTCGTTAGATGTCATCATGCTAAAGGGCACTTACTGGTAACTAGGTTAAACAAACAGAAATATTAAAGGCTTAAACAGTCCTGTTAACGGACAGCAGCCACAGTCCTGCCAATGGTCTCTCTTTTTGGCTGGAGAAATTATAATTGTTCAGATGGGTAGATATGTAAAACGAAAACAGACAGAATTCAATGGTGGGGTATATCTCAATATATAGACAGAGATATGTGTGGATGGAACTTTGAACCACCTCTACAATATTGGGCCTGGGCAGAGAAATTCCCACCTAAGGATATGTGGATGTCTTCTTACGACCAATATGGATCCTCACCAAGACATGAAACACTGAGCAAGATACAGGAAAAATATGTAGTGTAATACGTACTGCAGTTTTGGATAATACTGTAAGTATATAGTTTGGGCACTCACATTATATAGAGCATTGAATGGCTCCAAAAGTATTTTTCATTGTGTAAACAAAATATTTTGATAAGGTGAAACATGTTTATGTACGATTATCTTTTATTGTTTTTACTAGTCATAAATAAAGTTGTTGTTTTATCCTGTTCCTGGATTCCTTTTCATCTGTGACCACATTCCACCAATCATATCCAAAGTGAGGATTTTATCCACTAAAGCATTAAAGACTGAGAAATACCAAAAAATGCTCAGAAATCTGTAAGTAATTTTAATTTTCTTAACTGAAGGTTTTTGGCTACAGAGAGCACTATATCTAGGTTTTATTTTACATGAGATCACTCATTACATCTGGCTGAAAAATATCCAAGAGTAGGTATTGTACCACTATATGCTAACATATTGAAGCCATGCAAGGCTCTGTATTATGTGAGTGTAAAATGAATACTTGCATTATTATCCAAAACTGCAGTACATACTGCACCATATATTGTTCCTGTGTTCTGCTCTGTTTTACATGTCATGGTGAGGATCCATATTGGTTGTAGGAAGATATATCCACATATCCTTTGGGTGGGGATTGTTCCTCACAGGCCCAATATCCTAGATCTGGTTTAAAGGTCTATCATATATTGGAAGGCGAGGCCTCTCCCTCTATTCAAATACTATTTAAGGTGGGCCCTCTTATTTACAGGCCTACCACACACGTTGGTTTCGGCACACCTCTACCGACTTTTTTATTATTATAATAAGCATTTTCACTAGCTATTTCATTCTATACTGAGATGGCCCCGAATACAAATATATACAATCAGATCAGGGCTATCAGGGGATGTAACATTTGTGGGGTTTTTAGGTATTTTTAGAGTACTTTTGGGGTGTTTGGTGCTTGGAGATAATTGGATTAGATTAGTACAGTTCCTGATCCAAATATCTCCCAAGCACAGAGAAGAGATTATCTGAATATGTATGGGAGTGTCCTGGACCCGAGAGCCAATGTAATCGTGTGTATGTTTTTACTGTAGTCTACTCTCAGGTCCAGGGGTGAGTGCCCTTTGCATGGAGACATGAATATAAGTCCAGCTTGCACTCCAAAACTGTGTGTCGTCCTGTTATTGGAGGGCAGGAAGATGTAACTCCTGTGTCTGCTGTTCCAGTTTGCAGGGGATTCAACAGGGAAAGTCATTGTAAAGACTAGAGCTCCCAGGACTGGGAGTGAGTGAGAGTGTCGTCCAGTGCCTGGGGGTGTCTAGAGCGAATTCCCCATTCAGCTCCAGGAGGGAGCGGTTCCAGGGCCACAGACCAGCTACTGCGACTGTGAGAAGAAGTGCTGCTGTTTGTCCCCATCTAGGAAGCGGTTCTTGCCGGAGGTACCCAGCCAGAGGTACAGAGAGCTCCGTCACATAAGGAAATATACATTTAGTGATATACAGCCGCTTCTCAATGGATTTTTAAAATCAAATAAAGCTATATATACAGTAACAGAGAGGGCTATATATACAGTAGTAATGAGGGCTATATATACAGTAATAGAGAGGGCTATATATACACAGTAGTAACGAGGGCTATATATACAGTGATGGAGGGGGCTATATACAGTGATGGAGAGGGCTATCTATAGAGTGAGAGAAAGCAATGGATGCCAGGATTTATTTGCAATGATATCATGCCATCTCCGTGCTGTGAATGTTATTGTGTGTGTTTGGCGTTGCTGCTGGTCTGTGCACATTGCTGACGCACCCTGCATTCCTGCATCGCTCCACCCAGAGTGCAGGCCCAACAGACCCCCTGGCTGCAGTCATTGGCTGTGGAGTGAGGCGCGCACACTGTGTACACACACTGCCCACACTGCCTCTCATTCTCCCTGTTTGTTTAATCAGCAGCAATGTGTCTGTGCCAGCAGTGTGCTCTGTCACATGTCCCTGTATAAACTGTCCTTTATATTAAAGACAGGTCCTTGGCCCGGCTCTCAAAATCTACTAGGTGCAATAATACACCTGACAGGACAAATACACAGAATAATAATAATATATCTGACAGGGCAAATACACCGAATAACAATAATAATAATACACCCGGCCTGTGGTAGAAATGCAACACTAATGATGTCCAGACAGCAGGCCTTGCTGAGCATCATGGGAGTTGCACGTATGCCAGAATCTGTGTATGGGGTGAAGGGCAGGTTATGAATTCCTCTCACTCTATTGGTTGGGGTGGGGACATATAGCTAGGACCCCCACAATTTAATTTACACATTCTACATATCCCCCACAGTGGGGCCCACACTCAGGTGCCGGTTGCTTCCATTTGTAAATGGTTTAGATCACAAAGACTGTAACCAATAGCTTTCTCCTAGTAATTAGATAATTAGATACTTAGTAATTAGATAAATGAAAAAACTAATTAACAAATTGCCAGGACTGATTTCCTCTACATGCAAGAATTCTTTATCCAAATTCAATTTGTTCAATTTTTTGTTTCTGACAAAATTACTTGCTCTAAATTTGGGCAAATGAAAAATAAATATCCGGGTCAAGAATTCATTACTGGCATTGCATCAATTACTGAAGTTGTAAAGTCTCTATGGAAGAAATATCTAAAAAAACAAAAAAAAAACCATCCAATAAAGCAACATATGTTTAGTCAGAATTGCATATTTTATATTTTTTTTATAGCTAAACTGTAAAAATGTGAAATTACAGGCCAAAACATCTGCGTTGGAGACATTTTTTCCATTTCTGGTATTTTGTGTTTTTTATTTATATTTTGACAATCTTTATTTTGAGTTTTCAAAAACAAAGAAAATACAGTAAGAAGAATAAGGACGCTGTTATTAACAAACATTAATTAATTTTAAATAAAAAGATATAAATTATGTTCAAGTTTACAGAGGTCACTTCAGAATACTGATACAGGTGCGTAGTATAATATCCCTCACTATCATTCCTTCGAAGTATACAGCAAAGTCCCCCTTGTCGTTGAACAAAACTTTCTAAGAAAGTAGGTGGCTGTGAACTTTTTGTGCAGTGTGGCCCTGGAAGCCAGAAATCAGGGCCATCACCACCTCCCGCGCCCCTGATGTCATTGTTTGGTTGGTTACAATAAGCAAAGAGTAATTTAAAGCTTGATAAAAAAGGGGGAGAGATATAGAGGTGCGAAAGAAGTTAACAAGGGGAAATGAGGGTAGAGAGAAAGAGAAAGAGCAGGGGAGGGAGGGAAGGGACTTTAAAGACCCATAACAGAAGCTGTAGGAAGGGAGAAGATATGCAGATGGTGATTCCTTAATGGTGCGTGGTACAGCCAGACTAAACCACGGGCATGTACAGCCCAGCATATGTCAACAGCACTTCCCCTACCCAGACGCACTCTCCTACCCAGTTGCCAGTGCATCTACTGCCTGAGACGATATGTATGCTACCCATGGGGTCCAAATGTCCAGGAATTTGTCGGTTCTAATTTGCAGTGCAGCTGTCAGCTTTTCCATTGTTCTAGTCTCCTCCACCCGTTCCATCCAATTGTGGAAAGTCAACACAGCGCACTGCCTCCAGAGGACAGGAATCAGCGACCTAGCCGCTGTTAAGAAATTTCTGGTTAAGGATGGTTTAAATTTGGATACTGGCATGGTGGTATGAGATAATAGCATCATTGCTGGGCTAAGCTCAGTGTCCTCCCCCGTCACCTCTACTAGAACACTTTGAATTTCTCTCCAAAAGGCTTGCACAATTTTGCATCCCCACCACACATGTATTATGGTACCCTTCTCCTCCAGACAATGCCAGCATCTGTCGGAGTGGTTACCGGGCATTTTCGATAGACAATCTGGAGTTAGGGGCCATTGGGTGAATATTTTATAATTAATTTCTTGGAACCGTGAGCTGGGAGAGCATACATGTGTCAGGGTACATATTTTCATCCAGAGCATCACAGAGTGGCCTCCACAGGTCCTCTTCCCATCTGGTCATAATGGCAGGGGGCTCTCTGTGGTCCAGTCCATCACATTTGGTATAACAGGAATATATCTCTATGTAGGTGTTCATTTCTGGTATTTTTACTTAAAATATTATTTATTTTTAAAAAAATCTTTTTAAATTATCCATGATTTTGGGCTTAGCAAATTATCCACATGGTTTTGTGACCAGCTACTGACTGTACTAAGGCTAATCTTTAATTTATATATTCAGGGTCCTGGTCAGAGGCCAGTGGAAGACGTAACCTGTGATTGGAACGCGGAATGCGCCGTAAGTAATGGGACATTGCAAAATCCAGGGACAATTGTTCAATACTGAACAGCACATATCCCATCATTATAAATAAGACACTTTTTAGACAGTGCCATTTAAGGCATGGGT